ATTCCTCAAACATTTACAAAATGGAACCCAAGCAAGTCTGGGTTCCACGCGCTAACCCTTAATCCTGGAACAGCGCCGAGTGAGGGGGAACAATCACTGGTTCCTTGACAGTGGTTGTTCTAAGCACATGACGGGAGACAAATCCTTATTCCTCTCACTACGGCCATTTAGCGGTGGAAAGGTGACATTTGGAGACAACGGCAAAGGAGAGATCATAGCCGTGGGCAAAGTTGGAAAGTCACCTAGCCATGCTATCGATAATGTATTTTTAGTCAAGGGTTTGAAATTTAATTTACTAAGTATTTCTCAATTTTGCGATCGAGGTAATAGTGTTGTTTTTGATCATAACGTTTGTCGCATTGTTAATAACGAATCACAACAAGTTATACTTGAAGGCAAGAGGCTCGAAAATACATATAAAGTAGATCTTGATTCATTGCCTAATATTAGTATGACTTGTTTGAGCGTTATTGATAACGATCCTTTGCTATGGCATAAAAGGCTTGGACACACTAGTTTTTCATTAATAAATAAACTTAAAAATAATGATTTAGTTATTGGACTGCCCAATATGAAATTTTCACTTGACCATGTTTGCTCGGCTTGTGCCACCGGAAAACAATCTCGATCATCTTTTAAAACAAAGAATTTGGTGAGCACAAGCAAGCCCATAGAACTAATACACATGGATTTGTGTGGTCCAATGTCAGTCCGTAGCCGAGGAAACAAAGAATATGTTCTGGTTATTGTTGATGACTTTTCAGGATTTACATGGACTATCTTTCTTGCTAGCAAGAAAGATACTTTTAATGAGTTTGCTATTTTTGTAAGGAAAATTGAGCATCAAACAGGTCTACGACTAATCAAGATCCGATCGGATCATGGAACTGAGTTTGAGAACTCACTCTTCGATGCATTCTGCAAGGAACGAGGGATAGACCACAACTTCTCTGCCCCTAGAACCCCACAACAGAACGGAGTGGTAGAACGGAAGAATAGAACTCTGGAGGACATGACTAGAACAATGCTAATTTCCAGCGGTCTAGCTAGGAGTTTCTGGGCCGAGGCTCTAAACACAGCATGTTACATCATTAATCGAGCCATGATCCGCCCCCTCCTAGGGAAAACACCCTACGAACTACTCAAAGGAAGGAAGCCCAACATTAGTCACCTAAGAACCTTTGGATGCAAATGTTTCGTCCACAACAATGGGAAAGATAACATCGGCAAATTTGATGCTAGAAGTGACGAGGCAGTCTTCCTCGGATATTCTACTCATAGCAAGGCTTACAAAGTTCTAAACAAACGCACACAATGTGTGGAAGAAAGCATTCATGTAATCTTTGATGAAGCACTTGCCTCAAAGTCAATCCAAGCCGATGATGGTGAGCTAGGGATTACTCGCAAGAAGTCACAATCTCAGGGAGATGAAGGAACTGACAATCAAACTGATGAAGTACCTCCAACAAATGAAAGTGAAAAATCTGGAACTGAAGAAGAACCTGGACAGAACACTGACACTAGACCTATAGATCCAATAGAACCAGTTTCAGATTCTCTCTACAATTTGGTGGATCAACCCAACGCTCCTAGGGGTTGGAAGCTTCATAGATCACATCCGCTTGATAACCTCCTCACCGATCTAAATCAGGGAGTAACAACCAGATCTAAACTTAAAAACTTTTGTGCTTTCTCTTCTTATTTATCTCTTATAGAACCGGAGAACCATGAAGTGGCTCTCTCCGACACTGACTGGGTTCTAGCCATGCAGGAAGAACTAAATCAGTTTGAAAGAAATAAGGTGTGGCATCTAGAACCGAGACCCAAGAACAAGACAGTGATAGGTCTCAAATGGGTATTCAAGAACAAGCTTGATGAACATGGCCAAATTACAAGAAACAAAGCTAGGCTTGTTGTCAAAGGCTATAACCAACAAGAAGGAATAGATTTCAACGAAACATTTGCACCGGTGGCAAGACTAGAAGCAATTCGAATGCTCATAGCATTTGCGGCTCATATGGGTTTCACCCTCCACCAAATGGATGTTAAGACGGCCTTCTTGAATGGATATCTAAAGGAAGAGGTATATGTAGAACAACCACCGGGCTTTGAAAATCAAGATTTTCCTAATCATGTTTTCAAATTAGATAAAGCACTTTATGGCCTCAAACAAGCACCTCGTGCTTGGTATGAACGCCTATCCAAATTTCTTTTGGAAAACAATTTTGAAAGAGGAAAAATAGATAAAACTCTTTTTCTAAAAATAAAAGATCAAGCCCTATTGGTTGTTCAAGTTTATGTTGATGATATTATTTTTGGTGCTACTAACGAATCTCTTTGTGATGAGTTTTCTTCTCTTATGAGTTCCGAATTCGAGATGAGTATGATGGGGGAACTAAATTTCTTCCTTGGTCTACAAATCAAGCAAACAAGCAAAGGAACTCAAATATCTCAACAAAAGTATCTCAAGGAACTACTAAAGAAGTATGGGATGAGCGAGGGAAAAACTATGACTACACCTATGGGGACTAATGATAGGCTGGACTCGGATGAACAGGGAAAGAACATAGACCAAAAGATGTATCGAGGAATGATTGGGTCTCTACTATACCTAACTGCCAGTAGACCCGACATAGTTTTCAGCGTAGGTCTATGTGCACGGTTCCAGACCAATCCCAAGGAGTCCCATCTCAAAGCGGTGAAAAGGATTCTCAAATACCTCAAAGGAACTACTAATCTATGTTTATGGTCCCTGTCTAGTTTCTTGGAGCTCAAAGAAACAAAATTCAGTTGCTCTTTCAACAGCCGAAGCTGAGTATGTAGCAGCCGCATCTTGTTGCTCTCAATCATTGTGGATCATGCAACAAGTAAGCGATTACGGGGTTGATTTAAAGTGCACGCCCATCCTATGCGATAATACAAGTGCAATTAGCATATCAAAGGACCCGGTCATGCATTCTCGAACAAAACATATTCATATACGACATCACTTTCTGAGAGATTGCGTGGAAAAGGGGATAATCAGGCTGGAATATTGCAACACCGAGAAACAAATAGCTGATATCTTTACCAAGCCTCTGGGAAGAGAAAGGTTTGAACTAATTAGACTGGAACTTGGTCTAATTAATTCCTAAATTATTTGTTCTACTTCTTATTTCTTAAATAATGGGAATCACTGGAACTAATCTCTTTTACTAGTTGCGAAGAAAGCATGCAGGACCTTCCGGCCTCATCTAAGGGGGAACAAATCGATATTTTAGTTTGGGCATTAATTTTATTCCTTTTGTTGAATGACAAAAGGGGGAAAAAATCCGGTGCCCCTTTGTGTGTTGATGCTCTACTATAATTGTTACTAATCTGCAGGGACACCTTCACTATGGCACCTAATGTTTGTCATCAACAAAAAGGGGGAATTTGTTGAGTATGTGGTTTTGTTGATGACTAACCATGTAGGTGGAACGACGAACTAAACCGACCTCAGTTCCATACGGAACGGAAGACAGAACTGTCCTTATTTCCATTTTGTGTGAATGAGTGTCATACATGAATAACATGTGCTTGCATTATATTTGGTTGTTGGCCATAGCATTTACGTATTGTATGTTTTGCTATATATCTCCTTCCATAAAAGTTATCCTTAATTAAAATATTAAGTGAATAATTCGAATATGGAGGTTGGCTAGCATGGACCGTTGCATGCTTGTAATGGTAGGTATAATATTCCCTTTCCATACAGATTAGAAAAGGTAAATCTTTGAAATATATTCCATATTTAATTAGGTGCATGCTTGATTGACTCTTGGTACGAATAAGTAAATTGGAAAGGTCTTTTCATTACTTTTCTATTAGTGGACCATGACTTTTTGAATTTGATTTAAAAGGCTTCCTTATTAAAAATGATTGAGTTATGCTTAGCATTAATATCTTACTTTATGGAAGTTGTCAGAGATATTTTTATTTGAATTGCCTTCCTTGTTTTAAGTTACTTGAGTGGGGTGGAAATATTTTGCATAACCCGTTGCACCTTTATGGTAGGAGAATAAAATTATTTCCTTACTCCTCTATGATAATTAATCTTTGTCTTATATGTCCATATGAGTTCGTTGACTTAAGCCTCAAGATGGAAGGATTTTTAAATCATAACATAGCAAGAATCAAGCATTGATTTTATTAAAGAGAAGAAGGCTCCAACGGATTCATTCTGAGGTTGCCTATATAATCGAAGTGGCTGGAGAGAAAAAGTGTGCTGGACCGAGAAAATAAAAAGAGAAATACTCAAGAGAAATACTAAGTCCAAGGCATCTGAAACTGCTCCCGAAGTTCTAGACAGAGTTCTTATTCCCTTCTTATATTGTAATTGGGTTATTGAGGACGAGCTAAGAGTAGCTTCCTCGGGTTGGGATCAAGTGTGTTGTGAGGGCTTTGCTGTAAAGCCGAGAGGCTCTCTACCCGCAAGGTAGAGAAGCGAAACTCTTCCTAGAGAGGATAGAGTTGGGGAGGCTCAAGGGTAGATTAGGAGAATCACTCTTGTAATCTTTCAAAGGCTTGTTTAGTGAAGCTGTTTAAAATTCCTCCGAGGGAGGTCGAGGTTTTTGAATCCCTTTTGAGCCAAGGGGTTTTTCCTCGTTAAATTCTTGTGCACTTTACAATTTCGCAACTCCCATCTCCCCACACTTGAACTGTGCGAAAAACTGCCACGGTTCCACACACACACACAATTCACCCCCCCCCTCTTGTGTTGCTAACCGTTTTCATCACACATATAGCGTCTTCATATTTGAGATTGAATTTGAAAAATATACTACAGTAGTGGCCCCACTGCATCTTACAAGAAACAATATGGGGTGTAAACTACTACAAAAACACCCTATGAAACCACCTCATATGAATCGCATTGACATCACATGCGATGTATAAACTTTATTAATGGCCTTTTATAAATGATATAAATGATATGATGTATAAAATCTTTCGGAAAAAATGAAACAACCTTATGAATCAATTGATATAAAAAGTGTGATGCATAAGCCACCTAACGCATCCAATACTTTTGGAGCCGACACGTAAACGATTTTAAAATTTCTACGGAGTATGCCGGTCAACCAAAACAGAAAAGGAAAACATCAAGCCGCACCAATTAAATCAAATCAAGTGGAGTTAAAAATGAAAAAGTAAACTCACAAGAAACATGAAGTCTGTTACACGGCCAGATCTCATGACCTTCCAAACAGTTGGGCGGTGAATTTTCATCGCACTCAACGCTCGTAGTACCTCCGGCGACAATATACTACGGCGAGCTCTCACCGGAGACAAATATCAACACAGCAATTCGAGCGAGAGCCAAACGGGTAAGGCGAGAAATCAACACAACGATTCGAGCTCTTCTCTGGCCTCTCTGATCGGCAACAAGGAAAGTCGAGAAATCACCGCTTGTACTTCGCTTCAGTCGGCTCTCCAGTTCAGGTAATTTTCCAGTTCAGACATGAAACCTATTTTGAATTGACTGCTAAAATTCATATGTTGTTGTCTCAAATTCACTTCTAAATCAAAGTCTGAAACTCATATAGAAAACACATACAAGTGAATAGATGTGTCGTTTTTTAACTTGTGCAAGTAAATTCTATTGAGTGCCTTGTTTATGTCTAATGTTAGGATATCATGCTCGTACAACTTGCTAATGGGAATGTCTAAACATTAGTTTTATGTATTGTGATGAGACTATTATTTTCAAATAATTACTTTATATGTTAGTACAAGTAAGGTCAAACATCCATATTGAGAAAATATAAACACAATATAAAGTGAGCCTGATCATGAGGATCATCTGTAAAGGCTCAGTTATGCAAACAACATAGAATTAAAATATAAAAGGATTTGCAGTTTTAACAAATCACAATATACTACGATATCTGTTAATGGAAACATCAATTATATTCAATTCAAATTGAAAGCTTCAACTGCCTAAGGTGTCACGCCCCGGACCTACCGGACACGTCAACAACCCGCCGTACAGTACGAATAGTCAACCGCAGTCCAACTCATCCATACTATACTAGGCGTCTTGAATATCATTCACAATAGTACATCCATAAACAAACATAATGTAAAATAATCATTTAAATCAGCGGAAACGTTTAATACAAGTGTTTATGCCACACTTCGGCAACATGGGCGTACAAGCCCCAAATAATTATTCAAAACAATATCCATGAGCATTAATTTAATGTTTTAAAAATAGAACGGAGGAAGCACGAACCACGTCTTCTCTCCCTGAGCTCCCCGAAGCAACGGGCGATGGTAGCAAGCTTTACTCCCTACCTGAAACTGTGAGGTGGCCTCCCCCGTGAAGGGGAGGTCAGTACTTGGAAGCATTTGACAAGTACAATGACAACTATACTAAGTATAATCAACGTTTTAATTTCTAAGACCCTCAAAATAGGGTGATATCATAATATAAATAATAATTTATATTTCCCACTTATTATCTCTATAATAAGTAAATTTATTTATTTGTCGGCACACGGCCCATTTCATATATTTCATTATACCCGTCGTTAGCACGACACCGCCCGTAGGTCTTATCATCCTTTACGAGACTTGTCACCGCTCTCCGAGGCCTCACCGGGCTCTCGGGCCGGAGTCCAACATCCCGCCCCTGAACTCATACCCATCATCCCGTAGGAAGGTAAGGTCCATTCGGGGTCCTATCTTATGTGTTACCGCTGTCGGGAGCCTCGTAAGGTCTCCGGTTCGGATTCCACCCTAACCCGTGATCACGATGTAAGTCCATGCTATCCAACCCCGCTCTCTAGAGTCGGGAAGGGCCATGGTCCTTACTAATTACCAATACTCTATCGGCTAATCCTTAAAGACTACCGAATACACCCGTAGGCCAATCCTATTCCTAGGATCAATTTATTATTCACTTTATCTTGGGTATCCCTTAAGGCCTACCCCTAGCATCACTTATCCACCTTAGTATCTCTTAAGACTACTTAAGGCTCAACAATTTACAATCCAAACCTTGGATCAATTCTAACATATTTCATTCCAAAACCCCGACTAGTATCTTAATACTAGTCGGATAAATTCCAACAAGACTCATTTTCAATACATAGTCATATAGACAATTTCCAAACTAATTTTTCCATTGAAAATATAGTTCATTTCAATATACAAAATATAACCTTTAATCACTCATATATCCTTATATGAAGTTAAAGTTATATTTCAACACAATATTTATAATAAATCCCTTCATCAAGCCAATATGCTCATATTACATAATCATACACAATTTATCCATAAATTTGTATATTATGCTCCTTTATTCTTTGACAACAACATTTTCATTTAGGCATTATTAATCATTAATAATCCATGAAAATCACATTTAATTACTTTAGGTAATCCTACGAAATTAACCCAAAGATTATAAGCAACATAGTCAGCCATCCTCACCTTATGAAGTGCTGAAATAGTTGTCCTTGTTAAGCCCTTCGATCAATCCCCGTTCTAAACCGTTTGGAGATGAAAAATCTGGGCAGCAGACGAAAGCCGGGCGGCTTTCGTGAAAGGTGGGCGGCTTTCGTGGTCTGCAGCTACGAACAGCCTCCTATACTTGGCGGTTTCCGGCGATTTCAACTCCTATCGATTCCACGACTCTTCTAAGTTAAATACCACCACTTTATAACATTATTCTACACTTTTAAACGTGTAGAACTTCATGTTTAATCCACCATATGATTTATTAAAAATCATACAAAATAATACTAGTTAAAGAAATACTAGTTGTGTTCTTACCTCAAGAACAACCCTCTCCTCCTTGGATTTTCTTTTGTGATGCTTCCTTCAAGCTTGGAACTTGTGAGAGTCCTTCCTTGAGCTCTCCTCCTTGTGTTGGCCGAATGATTGCAAAGGGTAGGGGGGAAGCATGCTTAGTCAATCAACCAAAATTATTTGGTGATGGGGTCATGGGTGATATTTTTTTGTCTCAAGGGGACTTCCTCCTCCTTCCATGTCCGCACAACCCTTCCCATCATGTTCCCTTCCCCATTATTTGAGTCCAACTTGATTGGTAGAATACCCCAAGTGGGTGTAGGAAGTCTTTCCCAATTATTCCTGCTATTTTCGGTAGGTTGGGCCAAAATAGCACTCGGGTTGTCCAAATATTTTTATCAACTTTAGTTGGCACTTCATTGGGCTTCTAAAATTATTACGATGACCCAACTAAATATTTAGGAATCCATTCCCATTATTTGGGACCCGACAAATAGTTCGATTAATCACGCATTAATTAAATGTACCAATTCTGTCACACGAATTTATTCGCTAGGAAAATTCAATTACATGCCGAATTCCAAATTCAAGTACATCCGGGTGCGGTGTCACATAAGGAATAGGACCTGACAATATGTTAGCCTTCAGATCAACTATGGTAAAGTCCAGCTAAATTTTGTTAGAAATGTAATGTTTCAGGGATATATTTTTATACTATTAACCTCCGTTATTGACTTTCAGGTGTGTATATATGATCAGATTACTCTAATCTGTTGACTTAATGCTTGTTTGGTATATTTTTATTTTATACTATTCTTTATTGAGATACACATCTTATTAATAAATTACATACACATATAGAATAAAGTGAAATATACAAAATATAGTTTTATTCATTGATCCAGATCCACTTGCTTTAGTAATAAAATAACTTCATACGTACAATAATTGATAACTAGCAATCCAAATATATATTAGTTAAAATGCAGAGTTAAAAACTATTTGGAAGAACAAGATCTAAGTCAAGTTTATACAAAAACAATTTTGGAGTATATCCTACACAAACATACTTCCTATTGTAAACAGATTAACCTTTTTTTTTTTTGGAACCGTTAAATAAAAGAATCAAGCGAAAATGCACTCAACTCAAGACATTTATATATTTGCAAATGGCTAGAAAAGAATAATTATATGAGAGAATTCCCTAGATAGGAGTAAAAACGTTTTGAAATTCCAAAATAGGAGTATCATTTTTTTATTCCCTAAATAGGAGTAAATTTCTGCCAAGTTTGGAATTATAAGGCTTTAAACATGGCATTTTTTTCTAAACTTGGGAGATTACTCCTATTTAGGGAATAAAAATCATGATACTCCTATTTTGGAATTTCGAAACGTTTTTACTCCTATTTAGGGCAATTTCTGTAATTATATTGGTTTTCTATTTGATCCGCTTGAAATGTTAATTTTAAATCTGAGATTTGTTTTAACTTTATTATTCAATTTACTTATTTACCCTTTCTTCCTACTACTTTCTATGAAATTCTTACTATATTATATGAAGTATTATATATGTATACGTATTTACATGTTTTCTAAAAATCAACGTTTTCTTTCAATGAATTTTTGACCGTGCATGGTTACCGAATAAAACGCTTACGTACTAAACACCGTTTCATTCCCATACCATATTCAACTAACTATGCTCCCCACTAGTTATTTACCATTATGTGGTTTGATATTTATATAGAAAATTAACGTTCGTTAGTTCTTTTGATTCTTTTTTGTTAATTAGCCAATCAATGCGTTTGAGCTTTAGAGGACTATGTACGTGGTATCTTTGTAGATTCCTAATCCTACTTAGATATATAGATCAGATTTATCCGGTAGTTAGTTTTTACCGAAAGAAGAGATAAGTTTGTTCTTAGATGGGATTGCGGCCAAGTAATTAAACGCGACCAAGTCAAGTCTGCCCCACCGATATTTACTGATTTTTTGTGTCTATCAATTAATTAATTGTTCAAGAATTTTAAAAAACTTATTTTTTGAGTTAGTTTAACGATTTTAAAAATTGAATAGAATAGAAACGCAAAAAAGTAGAAAAAGTAGTCGTCCTCGTTTGTTAAATCTTTAGTGTTTTCATCAACCACGCTTCAAAAGTAAAAACTTGTGTTTTCATCACCAAAATAATAATTAAGGCCCATTATATAATAGAGATCTTTCTATATATAACAACAAGATCAGATAAACCAGTAGAGAATCTTTCAAAACAAGAACATTGTATTCGGGGGTATGGAGGATGGAGGTGAATCGGGTGATAGGAGGGCGGCATCGTCATCGGAGACGAATCTCGATAGCTGGCTTCCCATCACGGGTTCCCGGAAGGGCACGTGGTGGTTCTCCACCTTCCACAATGTCACCGCCATGGTCGGCGCCGGCGTGCTCGGCCTTCCCTATGCCATGTCTGAGTTAGGATGGTATGTATATAGATGCTCATATTTTACTTCGCACATCCATCCATGTGCTTTGTCGGATCGGGACTTGGCCAAGCACATGAATTCAAACTTTTGGACGATCTAACAAAGCGCATGACTTGTCGTTTCGTCCAAAAATTTGAGTTCCTGGTTGAAATATTAGGAGGAATCTTTTTTTATTGATATAAACTAGTGTAAATCTTTAATCTAGACTCCGTGGAATAAGTGATGTTCTTCTCGAGTGAGATTTTAAAGAGATCTGAACAATCAGTCTTTACTATAACTTTATTTGAAAACTCAAAATCAATATTTGTACATTTGTAGCCTAACCCTTTATATGTGAATTTATATCATGTATATCTCCGTATCGCATACATACTAATCTTAAAGTCCGTGTTTGTTGTTGACGGTTACCAATATACGAAGTATAAATTCTAGGGTTCCAATTTGAGCACCTCAAAGTTTTATATCATTATATGTATATATTTCTAGTTTGGAATGACTAAACGATAAATGCATTGGAAAATTTTCTTTCAGAAAGGTGAATCTTTTGAAATTCTGTTCATTTAAAATATTTTTATTATGAACATGTTAAGCACATAAATTGACATATTTTCTCCGTTCTTAAATAAGTGCAACGGTCAACATTTTACACTTGTCGAGGCACAACTTTGACAATTAATATATATAGTTCTTTATTAGTAAAAAATTGCAAAAATAGATTTTGAAAATTTACAATGAGACAAATTTGACAATATTTTTTTCAAGAAAATATATTAATACATTATTTAATTAAACATAGTCAAAGTAGCACATGTGAATAGTGTAAAATTCAACATGCTGCACTTATTTAAGAACGGAGGTAGTATAAAGTATTGAGTTGTAAAATAACAGGGGCCCGGGAGTGACAGTACTGATTTTGTCGTGGGTGATCACGCTATACACATTGTGGCAAATGGTGGAGATGCATGAGCCCGAAGGCGGGGGTACGGGGAAGAGGCTCGACCGGTACCACGAGTTAGGGCAATACGCATTCGGAGAGAAAAGAGGGCTATATATTGTGGTGCCACAGCAGTTGGTGGTACAAATTGGAGTTAACATAGTTTACATGGTGACTGGGGGCACATCTTTGATGAAGTTCTGTCAAACTGTTTTCCCTACTTGGAAACCGCTCAAGAGGACATATTTCATTATGATATTCGGATCTGTTCACTTTGTCCTCTCCCATCTTCCAAACTTCAACTCTATCGCTTTGATATCTCTTGCGGCCGCAATCATGTCATTGAGGTAAAAAAAACATATATACTTCAATGCATTCATATGTACATGCTATATGAGTATGACTTACGTCTCGTAATGTAAGATGCATATGAGTATGATGCAGGTTTTAAGAAAGTAAAGGCCCAATAGATTGATTGTTTTATAATTCTAGCTTCTAATGGTAAGAGAGAAAAACAAATTCACAAACAGTAAAGACTGAAATGATACCTAAATGGATAAATTGGGAAAGTAAAAAGTTAACTGGTGGAGAAAGTGTTTATATTTTTTTGACAACCCAAAAACAAGTGTATCTTACAAATTTGTATATTAGGAATGTATTGATTACTCCATCCGTCTCTTGCAGTTGTTTCAACTTTCTTTTTTTTTGGTTGTTTCACTCATTTTGTCACTTTGCCTTTTAAATAAACAATTTGTGATTCTTGTTAATTATGTCTCATCTGCACAAACCTCAACCACATAGTTTTACTTTATTATTTTATGTGTCAACCAATTTTGGTAATGTTTGAGGGACGAAGGAATACATCTCCATTAATCTTTTGATATTCATAACTACACCATTTTGGGGTGACTATACCATATCGAATGTATACTCTACGAGTAAAATATGCTTTGTAGGGTTTGAATAATACTCCACCCTTCAATAACTCGAGAAATTCCTTATTAGAGATATTGTTTCTGAAAATAATAAGTAAAAGAACATACATTTAAAGTGTGGTTTATGTGACAGTTATTCAACGATAGCATGGGTGGCATCAGCCCACAAAGGGGCTCAACCAGATGTGGACTACTCACTGAGGGCGCCGTCGACCGCCGGGAAAGTGTTCCGGTTCTTCAGCGCCTTAGGTGACGTGGCGTTCGCCTATGCCGGCCACAACGTTGTTTTGGAGATTCAGGCGAGCATCCCGACCAGCCCCGAGGCGCCCTCCAAGAAACCCATGATGAAGGGCGTCTGGGTCGCCTACGCCGTCGTCATGCTTTGCTATTTTCCGGTGGCTTTCGTCGGCTACTGGGCTTTCGGGAACTCCGTGGAGGACAACATTCTCATTTCCCTTGAAAAACCTGCTTGGCTTATCGCCACCGCTAACCTCTTTGTTGTCATTCATGTCATTGGGAGCTATCAGGTACGTACGTATTCTTGAAAAAATGCCATAACACACCTTTTACTAGCTTTTGAGAAAATTAGTTTGACTAAAACTTAGAGAAATTTTCGAAAATAGGGAATAACGTTGTGAATTCTAATATGGTGACAACTCCGGTACAATAGAATCTACCTTCTAATATATGAATGTCCAAGGTTTTAAATAGCCGTAGCGGCAGCGGTAGCGGTCTGTAGCCAACTGTAGCGATTGCAGTGGTGTGAAATATTTTCAATTGCGCAATACATAAATGTATTTTTTCACATCATTCACACAACATTTAATTTTGAGTTTCACTGCATGCATCACTATTAATGTATTTTTTCACATCATTCACACAACATTTACACATTTACACATCAAACAGTTCGTGATGTACTGCCGAAAATTCAATAGCGGGCTTTAGCGGGCGGCGTAACGGATTTTTCCCGTGATTTGGAAATCACACACGAATAGCGGGTCGTAGCGGTAGCGGCCCCTACCGCGACCGCTATATATAGCGGCCGCTATCGCGGTAGCAGGCCGCTATTTCAAACCATGGGAATGTCATGTATTATTCCTTAAATAGGAATAATTACTCCCAAATTTCAAAAATACTGTAATGTCTAAAGTCTGATAATACCAAAAAATGATACGAGTAATATATAATTACTCCTATTTAAGTAATTACAAATTAAACATCTTATTTCTATTTTATCTTATTTCTATTTTGAGCAATTTCTTAACTTTATATGTTTTCCAAAACGACTCCCATCATTCCTTACAAATGATTACACATATCATTCTTTTTCTTTGTCTTATTTTTGTGTACATAGGTTTTTGCAATGCCGCTCTTTGATACTGTAGAAAGTTGGCTAGTAAGGTCAATGCATTTTAAGCCGACATGGTACCTTCGGGCCGTTTCTCGTACGACTTATGTGGGTGAGTAATTAATTAATTAACATAATTACAAAACTTTGTAAAACAGTGATTTGATTATAAGATTTTTTATTTTGTTTTGTTTTGTTTATCTGTACCACAATTTATTTATTATAAATCAATTCGTTTATTACGTTTTTAATTCCTCAATTTTTTTTTGCCCATGCAGCATTAACTTTATTCTTGGCTTGCACATTCCCGTTCTTTGGCGGGTTGCTTGGATTTTTCGGAGGCTTTGCTTTTGCACCGACCACCTACTTCGTAAGTCATAACTTTATTTTTTGCATATTAATGCATTTTTATTGATTTTATTAAACTATTATACTCGTATTATTGTGTAAAATTTCTGATAACATTTTGCTCAAAATTATTAAGAAACACTTAGTAAAATATAAGAAGATTTGCTTATTTAATATTGTAATTTTTGTCAATTATAATTTCGAGTAACCTTTTTCTGTCGAAATTTGTCCACTGGCTAGTAAAATTGGTCACAGTAAAAACTTTTGAATAAGAATGTGCAATTTTCGCCAAAAATAGCATAAAAAAGTTGTTTCTTATGTGAATTTTTCCACCGGAAATAGTAAACTTGGTTGAAGTAAAAGTATTTGATGTGGATACACTTATGTTTTACACGATTAACCTATCGTCTACTAATAAATTAAGTGATTAACATTTACTATTGCTCTAAAAAAAACCTTTACTATGTAGGATATATGTTTTTTATTTGATTCAGTCAGACACTCAGACCAAGCCACACTTTTAATTTGCAGAATAGACTAGACTAGTCCAGAATTAAGCAGAACAAATTGAATCTGATCTAACTTAGATATTAGTAAAATACACCTACACTAGACGTTTACCAAACTAAACTAGACCAAACTTAAACAAATCAAGCCATAAAATTTTGATGTAATTAAAACCATCCTTAGTAAAAAAATCAAGCAACATCAAGCACGTGATTTTTATACAAATAAGTGGGAAAAAAAGTTGTGCAATTATGCTGTTTTCGGTTAAAATGAATTTTTTTGGTCTGATATCACATATTTAAATCATGATCTATTCTAGTAAATGTTCGGTGCATGTGTATTGCACTATTGTCCAAGTTTGAAACAAGTTCTAATAAGAACATCCTTAAAAATGAGTATAAAAAGTATCAATGAACAGAGGAAGCACACATCTCACTTTTTATGCACCACGCCGTTTTGAAATTTGAAAAGCAATACCGTTTTTAACTAAAGTATTATTTGTTTTATAAATTATGCAGCTTCCCTGCATCATATGGCTCAAGATTAAGAAGCCCAAGATATTAAGTTGGACATGGATCATAAACATTGTAAGCTTTTGATTCCCATTCATTATCATTGTGTAGTGTACATAACCTTGTAGGTATAATAAACAATTGTACAAATTACACAGAAATATTAATGCCTTTTCTTTCTTTTGTTTGCTAGATATGCATTATCCTTGGAATTTCTCTAATGGTGGTAGCTCCAATAGGCGCATTAAGACAGATAATATTGCAAGCCAAAGATTACAAGTTCTATTCATAGCTATGCATTACGAATCCAAACTGTTTCTAGGATTTAGTTCTATTCTTTACGTTTTTTAGTAATAATTACATATGATAACTTCGAATATTTGTCCACTGTATATGGCTCTGATCAAATAAGCTAGGTCAGACAGGGATTGATCGGAATTTGGCTGAGGCATTTTTAGTTAATTAGCTCCTCAAGTAAAGAGATTATTGTTCTATTGTTTAGCTAATTAATACTTCGTATATGAGTAATTGTCCTAAGTAGGACTAAAACATAATGAAAATCCACTGATAGGACCTTAAATTTTGTATTCCTTAAATGAGATTATATTAGTCCTATGTAGAAACATGATACCCTTGTAATTTCCGTACGTATGTTTGTGTTTTTAGTTAGTTTTTGTTGTTTGATACTTTAGAAATTACACACTTTTGGTGTAATAGTTATGTTTGTGAAATTCTTGTAATTTGTTTAGACTAGGTCTATTCTGAGCTAAAACAGTTACAAGACCAATCAAATGATCATACATGAACCCAAAAGAGGAAGGAAGGTGCAAAAATACAAGACAAACGAAGAAAGATCATGATTTGGCCTGTACCCGGTCGGGTATACCCCTTACCCGATCGGGTGCCAAACTGATTTTCAAATCGGATACGATCTGGGAACAAGGAGACGTGCAGGAAAAGATTTGCCCACGATCAAATGTCATACCCGATTGGGTAAACCGACACACCCGATCGGGTAATGCGTATAATTTTTACGCTAAAGGCGATTGGGTATGGGTAGAGTTAATGGTTCTGGAAATACCCTGTCGGGTACCCTATGTACCTGATCGGGTACATGACCCTGCAGCCCAAGAAACCTATAAATACACTCCCTTTCCTCCACAATAGAGCATCAATTCCTATACACTTCTAAGCTCAGTCTAGATAAGCTCTTTCTTTATATTTTCATTATGTTTAGTCTCCAAATGAGGAGCTAAACTCTTCCATCTTGGTTTTGCTACTTTGAAGCTCATGATCAGCAAAAATGAATTCCGATGGCGAGGACTAAATGCAAGATACTGAAGATTCTTCAGTATATATATATATATATATATATATATATATATATATATATATATATATATATATATATATGAAAATATAAAAATGAATATGAATCTAAATAATTTCATATCTTTTTTAATTACTTATTTCTTACATAGATTAATATTTTACTACGAGTATCTTACAATATCAAACTTCTAAAACTATTCGGCATTTGTCCCAAAATGAATATTCGGGATCCTAACTATATAGAGATTATTCTTGATCCCGACAATCTAAATCACAACAATATTACAAATTTTGCGCTTCTGATGAACCCTTTAAAAATCATGATTGAGACTAAGATTTTTTTTCTTTAGTAAATAATCATAATACGTAGTATGTATTTATACATTATATTCATTGGTCACAAAGTTTCTGAATGAGTCTACTTAGTTTTGAATTTTAAATAATATACGTTACACATCCTTCTTTTAGTGATTTTTATATAATGTTTGAAGTAAGTTTCACTAAGCCTTGATAGCTTATTCAAAAATTATACTATTAATTAATTGAAGTTACAAATAAAAATTATTCTAAAAGTATGTACTAGTGTGAATTTGTGATGATAATTATTAGAATAAATTTTACAAGTAGATAGATGATGATAAATATGGTATTACAATGAACAAAGAATATCAAAGTTAGTGTTTAACTAAAGAAATTACATAATTTAATGTTTGATACTTCATTGTCGGGATTAAGCGGGATTCCCGATCGGAATCCCGACTTAATCGGGATTTTAATGTCGGGATCCCGACTTAATCGGGACGGGATACGGGATCCTCTTGTAGTTTGAATCGGGATCGGGACGGGATCGGAACGGGATCGGGATTTGGGCAATCGGGACCGGGATCATCCCGATCCCACCCCTAGTTTAATATATTGCTATAGTTTGTTGTAATATCATTTCCCAACATGTTGGTGTTTGTCCCTGCATGTATTCAACAATCAAAATAACAATATAACATCAAATACAGAAGAGAAGAACTGTGTATTCGATATCAGAATGATATTTTCTAATACAGAGCAATATTCGAAATACACAGTGCGGAATCCTCTCTCTCACTAGATGTATGCGTGAATAATAATCTGAGAGTCTTCTTTTGCACATTCCATTAAAGACTATATTTATATGCCTAGGGAATGTGTTGATGTGATATAATCATGATTGAGCTCCTTTATTTAGGTGGCCCAATAGCGCACTTTACAATATTTCCCAATAAGGTTAGTCTATTTATAGCTTACAAAGGTGCCAATGGGCTGAAATATCTAGACATAATAACTACACAAATACAAAGATATTTAACCAGATTGGACACCATAAAATATTCCCAACAATCTCCCCCTTGGTGTTCAACCTTGTTCAATCAGCATTGCAGCAAGGATATCTTTGTCTTTATGTTGATTCAGCAATGTAGGGAGAGCGTTAAGGATGGCAATGGGGGCGGGGGCCCGTGGGAAACCGCCCTGTGGGGGGGAGTTGGGGCGGGTGGTGGGGTGGGGGAGATATTTTCTCCCCGCATAAATATGGGGCGGGTGATGGGTTATGCACCCCCCGCACCGTCCCCGCCCCGTCCCCCGTAATAATTAATAATAATAATAATAATAATAATAATAATCTCAATAATAATACAAATAATAATAGTAATACTAATACGAAGTAATTAAAATAGCATGGTGGCCCGGTGGGTTTAGTGGTTTCCTATCTAATGGATTGTGCCTAATGGGTCTATCTAATTCTTGTTTAATAACTAAGCTATCTTGTAAAATTGATTATCAAAATCATAAAGTAAAATGATTTTTTTAGGGATAAAGTAAAATGAATTTGGGAAAGTTATAAAGTGATATTAGCTTAAACGCCCTAGGCACGGTGTGAAAGTTTTTTTCCTTTACTATTACAATGCATTAATTCTTTTCTTTTGAATGTCATCTTTATGATTGTAGTTAGGGCTCTTAAAATTTTGTGATCATATGCCGTCCTAGATGCCATCAAATGACCATGATTGATTGAATGCAGGGTTTAAGAAAATATTATAGAGCTAATCAATGCTAATTTAGAGTTTGATAAAAATGACTAAATTAGGACGTGTATAATGTGTTCTAGATTTGAAATGGGATGTAAGATTACATTGACACTTAAAAAGTAAAAAAAAAACAATTGGCTACTAGAAGTGTTGTTTAATTTTTGAAAAATTGTCAGAGTCTAAAATGATGTTAATTTTTGACGAGTACCTCCCCCGTTGGGTACCCGTGGGTCTAGCGGGTCGGGGCGGGGATGGGGCGGGTCGAATAGTAGTGGGGGATGGGGCGGGGGTGGGGGCGATTTTTTAGACACGGGGCGGGGGATGGGGGAGTGAACCCCCGCCCCAACCCCGCCCCATTGCCATCCCTAGAGAGCGTAGATAAGATTTGTCTAGTAGCTCCTCTTTGTCTTGAACTTCAGTGCAGCTCAGCTTCCTTTGTATTTGAACTCGGCTTCTTGAGAAGGCTTTATGAAGAAATCCTTGCAATCTCCCCTTTGATGTCTTCATGGCAATCTGTTCTTTGATGTTGGGGATTTGAAGAATCTTCAGTATCTTGCATTTAGTCCTTGCCTTCTAGAAGTTGCTCTTGATCAGCAAAAATGAATTCCGATGGCGCCTCGGGAACGAGTGTTCAGTTGATTTTTTTTTTGATATATGGGCACGCATGGGAATCATATTCAGTACTTGAACATTCGACCTTTGTCTCCTCCAAAGTGTAGATGGCACAACGGAAAAGTCTTGCTTTTGAGGAGATCTCGTCAGTGGCACAACGGAAAATGATGGTTGACTTGTGAGTATAGCTGACCATTTGATTTGAAGTTGACTTGGCATTTTGATGATTTGAGAGAGTAGAGAGCCGTCGTTGATTTTTGTGTTGGAGGAGGGAAGTGTCCAAGAATAATTTGTTGATAGTAAACAACATGTGGACCATTCTCCCTCTCATGATGATCTGATGAATTGGGGCGTCATGCCTTTATTCTTTTATTCTGGGTAGCAAAATAGAAAAACAAATAGAAAGGTAAGAAAACCGGATACACCATGGTGTTCCGTTATCACAACATCAATGTAAACACTAATGTGTGGCCTGTATAAAATGATAGAATCATTAAAGCTTTAACAGGACTTCTAACCAAATATTGTGAAGCATCTGAAATAGATGTCACTCTGGTTGTTAAGGCATGACCATAAAGATCAACACTTCCGTCACTGACGGAATTGTTGAAACTGGTTTTGAAAAGGCTGAGTTTGCGGTTGAGTCAGGGGTGGATTTTGGGTGACAGGGGGTGAGTCAGGGGTGGATTTTGGGTGTATTTATAGGCTTTTGGAGATGCAGCTCAGGTACCCGATAGAGTATATACACGGTATCCAACCAGGTATGTGTAAAAACTCAGATTCGAGGTATACTCGATCGATTTCAGAGTTAAAATTAAAGGTATACCCGATCGAGTGTGTCGGTGTACCCGATCGGGTATAACAACTGATCGTGGCCAAATCTTCCCCTGCATGTCCCTTTGTTTCCTGAATTGATCTGATTGAAAATCAAGTAGGTACCCGATCGGTTATAGGGTATACCCGATCGGGTACAGGTCAAAATCAGGAACTTTCCTTTTTTGTCTTGTATTCTTGCAGCTTCCTTCCTCTTTTGGTCTCATCAATGATCATTTGATTGATCCTGGACCTGTTTTAGCTCAGAATAAACCTTATCTAAACACATTACAACTATTTTACAAACATATCTATTACACCAAAAGTGTGTAATTTTCAAAGTATTAAACAACCAAAACTAACTAAAAACATAAACATACAAACGGAAATTACAAGCGTATCAACTCCCCCACACATAGTTCTTTACTCGACCTCGAGTAAAGTAAAATGTTCCAAACAGTTTAAGAGTTTTTTCAAGAGTTCAAAAAGGAAAGAACACAAAACCACCAAGGAATCATAAATGATTTTACAAAAACACATTCTTCTTGGGTTTTTTGGTCTTCTATGCTCAATCTTCTTTCCTCTTTTTCTTCTTCCCTTCTTCCTCCCAAGAGATCAAATGAGGTTCTACACAAAACAAATACTTCTCTGATACACTTGTAATTTCCATATGTATGTTTATGTTTTCAGTTAGTTTTTGTTGTTTGAATACCTTGGAAATTACACACTTTTGGTGTAATAGTTATGTTTGTAAAATAGTTGTAATGTGTTTAGATTAGGTCTATTCTGAACTAAAACAGGTCCAAGATCAATCAAATGATCATTGGTGAAGGAAGGTGCAAGAGTACAAGACAAAAAGAAGGAAAGTTCCT